GAGCACCCAGATACATAAGGCAAGTTCTTAATGACTTATAAAGAGACTTAGACTCCCACACAACAATAGTGGGAGACTTTAACATCACATTGTCAATATTAGACAGATCAACGAGACAGAAAATTAACAAGGATATCCAGGACTTGAACTCAGACCCGGAACAAGTAAACTTAAAATACATTTATAGAACTCTCCACCCCAAATCCACAAAACATACATTCTCATCAGTACCACATCACACCTCCTCTAAAAGTGACTACATAATTGGAAGTATATCACTCCTCAGTAACTGCATAGCATTATGCAGGTTTAAATGAAATACTAGTTGGCTGCTTGTTTGTTATTTTCCTCCCTTATTCCTTCCTGTCTCCATTGTTAAGCACAATTATTGGCATAAAAGAGGTTTTCAATATCCATTTTTAGACTGCATTCTAGCCTGGGCAATAAAGCAAGACTCTTGTTCTCTCTTCTTTTCTCTTCCTCTTCTCTCTTTCATTCTTTTTCTTTCTCTCTTTTTTTTTCTTTCTCTCTTTTTTTCTCTTTTTCCAAAAAAAAAAAAGAATATTATTGGAGTTTATGCCATTTATTTGACTGTGCAAGTTTCCCAGAAATTCCTTTTCACAATACTTTTACTTTTCTTATACTTTGCCTCTGCCCAAAGAATGTCAATGGTAACTTACACTAAAGAGAATACATACAAGATAGATAAAATAGAAACAAAATATAAAAACTAGTAGGATGCTAATTTTGTTGGAATATAAACCACTTTGGGGAAGCTGCTAGAGACAGGGAGACATGGAGAGGTACACAGGAACTTCAAATTTTCTGCTCAATTTTGCTGTGAAGCTAAAAATTGCTTTTAAAAAATAAAGTCTTTTTAATAGGGGGAGAAAAATCAAGACATTTTTGAAGCTTTTTGAGACAAAGAGTAATTCTGAAAATATTTTTCATCTAGGTGGGAGCATGGAGAAAGATTCTAGAGGAGTGTGCAATGTGAGGGGTTGGTCCTTGAAGGATGGGAAAAACTTAGTGCTGTAAGTGGAGTATGGCCATGCACAAGCAAAGTCATGGGGTGAATTGATGGTACACAGGTAACAGCCAGTAGAGATATAAATTCCTATTTCTACTTCATAGGACACCATAAAGTAACAGAATCAATAGAAAACCTACTATAGTTTTTTCTACAACCAATATTCAGGGCAATTAAGAGAAAGTGACTTTTCACATTCTACCAATGTAATGAATCACACCACAGGTTAGAAGAGTTTTACGAAAGCCCAGCTAAGGACCAGTCATTTCCTTCTGCACTTGTTCTGAGAGGCAGAACACCTCTAAAGCAAAGCCTTCGATGTGCCTTGCCCTAATTCTTGCAGCAAGAATGGCTTCAAGCTTTGAATCCAATTGATATTTGAGCATCCAGGTCACCATGTATTGCTTTCTCCACTTCAACCAGGGGCTACATAAGGCCAATAACTCAGTCTAATTTCTAATGGAAATAATCTTTATAGTTCCATACTTTTTCCAATTATATTCACTTGGTTTCACTATGCTTTTTTGACTAATGACAAAGGTTTTGAAAACAAGTCTGGATGCAGAGAAAGGGGATTTTTAGTGACATGTAATCTTTAAAATACATGACATTTTAAAATGTATCACATGTAATCTTTAAAATGTATCACATTTTAAAATGCATCACAAAAGTAAAATAAATAAGAGTCTTTAAAAAAGTATGCAAAACATTAGGATTAATCAAAATAGAAGGGTTAGAAAGATGACAAAAAATGAACACAGTAAAATTAAAGCCCTGCAGCAATTCCAGGCAGTATAAAGGAAATTACTGAGGTTCTCTTTCTCTGTTGGTATGCTTTTAATTGAAAAAAGTAATTCTCATGGGAGAGTAACACAGAAAGGAAAGAGGAAAACAGCTGGCTGTTAGCCATGATTTGCCATTCACTGCAAAAGGAGACTGTTTCTGCTTCTCAATGTTCATGGTTTTTCCCAGCAGACACAGACCATACTGACACAAAGTCAATTAAGATGAGACTTAAGACATAAAAAAGAGGTATAGATGTGTAACTCAGAAGACAGGGCAAGGACATAAAATCAAATTCTGTTCTAAAGTATATTAAAACAAAAACTTTGTATAACCAAACTAGCTCCCACATCCTAGCAACAGCTTGCTTACTTCAAACAAAACAAAACATAGTGAAGTCTAATTATAAAAACCCCTTGTCTTTGTGATGGTGGCTTTTAACTGGTAATTAATCCCAATTTGTACAACTGATGTGGATGAGCTTTCCTTGTACAAACCAAGAATTTTATAATAGTATCATCTATCTCAGCTTTTTACATGAAATGTTAATGTGGAAAAAATAATGCTTTTCATCTGTCTGGAAGAAGTTCCTCATGAAATCAACAATGTAAAAGCTTTAGAAGAAAAAAAATGTCATACATCTTAAAACAGAAGTCATACTAGTTGTACTTAAATGGTTGTGTCTTTGCTCCAACTTCTAATCTGCCTTTTCTCTTTTCTTGTATACCCAAGTCAAAAAGAAAGGAGACTTGAAAACTAGGTACCAAAATAGGGTAAGAAGGCTCTGCTGATAAATCAGATAGTCTTGTAATCTGTCCTTCTTTGAATTTGTTAGAAAACGATTGCTAAAAGGAACACAAATACATTCCTGAAATTTCCAAACTTTTGTAATGGGAAACTTTTTGTTAGAACATCAAGTCTATCAAGAAGCCCACAAATTGGAGTCAAAGTGAGTATATATGGAGTTTTTTCATGGCTTCCAATTTACTGGTTGAGGACTCTAAGAATCATCAGTGAAGACAATGTAGTGAAACAGGGATTTGTTAACATCGTGGGATTTCATAATTTTATTTTGTGGAATGATTTTTGGGGTTGTAGGGGCAGGGAAGAGTAAGATTAGAGAAAGTTAAAATTCTTGGTTGAAAATATAACTTTTAAAAGTAAAGTGGAGATGAAGGACAAAAATTACACCATATGTCAAGGGCGTTATTTATCATAACCCACATTTTCAAACTCTAAGGAGATTGTTTATAAATAACATCTGGAGTTTTCCTTTGCAAGCACATACAATTTTTAACTTTGAACTTTTCCCCTCAGAATTACTCCTTGTCTCAAAAAGCTTCAAAAAAGTCTTGATTTTTCTCCCCCATTAAACAGACTTTATTTTTTAAAAGCAGTTTTTAGCTTCACAGCACAATTGAGCAGAAAATTTGAAGTTCCTGTGTACCTCCCCATGTCTCCCTGCCTCCAGCAGGCTCCCGACTATCAACAGCCCGTATCAGTGCAGTACATTTGTTACAAGTGATGAAACACATCGACACATCATTATCCCCAAAGTACATAGTTTACATTAGGGTTTCCTCTTGGTGTTCTACATTCTATAGATTTTGATTAATGTATAATGACACGTATCCCCCATTTTATACTATCACAGAATAGTGTCATTGCCCTAAAAATCCTGTACTTCACCTATTCATCCTCCCCAGCCCAAAAGATGTTTACTTTTACAAAACTATCTTCAAATAAGTACTTAAAAGCAAGGACAAGACCCCTCCCCCACCCCAAATTTTAGACAAGTATTAAATTAAGTAGCTCTTACCCACTTGTATTCATCAATAGAAAGCTAAGTAGGCAAAATGCTTTCCTGGTGGCAAGCAAGAGTAACCAAAAATATTAGATTTATTTAAAAGAAAAAAACGTAACGGGAAGAGAATAGAATGCAATCATGCTACCTTCACAATTTATGTTTTTCTGTTCTTGGATACCTTTTTGAGTGCCTGTGAATTTTAGTAGTAAGGAATGAAAAACGAGGTTTTCTCATTTCAAGTTGTTATTGGTCAATAGCTTCCTAACCTAAAACTTTGCATTCCTAACACAATACTTTGAATCCATTTTCAAAAATCCAATTCTGGGCATAAAACAGAATTAATTCTCAAGACAAAACTTAATGTTTAGAAGATAAAATAATATTAGGAACCATGAGTAAGAGAAAAAAACTGTTTTCTCTATTCTTCCCTTCCTCTCTCTGCAAAACTCCCCTATTTGATAAGGGACTGCTAGCTTAAATTTACCACAAAGTAAAATATGAGCAAATCCCCTGGAACGAGAACTTTCGCACAGAGCAATTCACTGGAATGTGACATCAGCATTCCTTCTGAGTCACAATCTGGTCCCACCCTTTTCTCCCAGGCGACACCAGGCTCCCCATAACCAGGGAGTGGCTCAGGTAGGGCCTTAGGTTCTGATGCCTGCGAGGCAGCAGCCAGGCTGGAAATGTGTCCCAGCGCTGAGACGCTAGTGACAACCGCCCTTTGGGGCTAGCTGCCAAACAGGGAGAATGCACTCTTTGACAGATAATTCCCTAAGACGGCGGCAGTGCTTCAGTGGACAAGTAATGAATGACCCCCCACCCAAAAAAGAAATCACATTAGAAGTTACCACCAGCACGGGTGCGAAGGCAGTGCATTAAATCAACACTCACTTTAGAGCGCCCCAGGCAGCCCAGCTGGAAGGGAGGAGGTCAGAGCTGTCAAAGCACAGCAGTGCCCCAAACCACGAAGGCTTAATGAACTTGAACTTCCTGAGCCAGGAAGCGTCACAGTCTCGCCCGCACTCGCCCTAAGCTCGTCCTTTTCTTTTGAGGAGGCCCAGGCACGCTGAAACATCTTCAGTAAAGTTTCCAACACCTCCAATCGCTGCGACTCCGGAAAACCGGAGAGAAGCGTCCCGCGCCTGCCCTCGCTCGCGCTTCCAACTCTGTTGCTCTCGAGTTTGGGGAGCTGGCGGGGCCGCCCCGCGCCTCCCTTAACCTGCGGGCCCGGTCCCTGAGCCAGGGACGCCGAAGACGCAGGGCCGGGCTCACGCCAGGCGGCTCGCTCGCCCCACCCGCCCCTGCACCTCCGAACACCGTGTTCCGCGCTACCCGCGCAGGTGAAGCTGCCGCCGCCCGCCACAAGCGCCCCCCTACCTTCTTCACTTTGTTTTCCAGGTCCATGTCTGTGCGTCCGAGGGGTTCCCTCCTTCTCCCGTCCAGGATCTCACGGCCGGGCTCGGTTGGCCTCGGGCTCCACTGCGGACCTGGAGAACCTGCGGAACTCCCGCGCCGCCCCCTCTCAGCCACTCGCCCGGCGGCGTCGAACTTCCGCCGCCCAGTCCGCCGCAGCCGGCCTGCGACAGAAACCCGGGAACAAAGAGGCCCGGGCAGCCAATGGCAGCCGGGCAGCGCCAGGCCGCCGCCAATCACCGAGCGCCGCACGCACCTTCTAGGCCCCAGCGCGGCGCTGGTAAGGTGAGGGGCGGGGCCGTGTCCGGGGCGGCGCCCTACGGGGCGCGCTCGCGGACCTTAACCTGGTCTTCTGAGGATACTCTGGGTGTCCGCGGGCGGGCTTCTAAAGAGCTGGGATCCAGCCTCTCTCATCTGAAGATGGAGCAGGGCTTCATCTTTGAAGTTTGCACCTGTGTTTGAGCTGGGTCAAGGGGAATAGTTATCCCAATAGTAACTTATCAGTTTATTTTCAGGGGAGAGAGAGAGATTGTAGGGATCGTTTTCTGAGCATTGGGTTGTTCAAAAGATGATGTGAATCACTTCAGAAACAGGTTGTGTCCATTCCTTTGGAAGCAGAGCGTTGCCCTTTGTCTCTGCTATGTGAAATGGTGCTAGGCCTATCGTGTGCTCAGGCTTTGACGAAGTCGAGTCATCACATTGGTGCACCACAGCTGAATTCATTTCATGCCCTAATTCAGGAGCAGATGCATCTAATACCATCAGACTGCTGGGCCTGGAAGGGAGCCTAAGGATTACAGAGTCTAGCTTCCTCATTTTGCAGGGAACTGAGGACTCCAGAGATGCAGGGATCAGCCTAATGTCTTAGCCTGTGGGGAACAGAGGCAGTGCTCATGAATCTAAACGATTTCTCTAATATGTTTGGGGCTGGAAGTACATGATTTTGACTAAGGAAAAAAAGCGGCCAACTTTCTTCAATTTGTGGTTATGGCAAAAAAATCACATTGCCCAGACAGCAAGTGACCTAATTTGGCACCTATTTTTAAAAATAGCAAAACAAAATAAAACGAACAAAAGTTCCCAAATAATGCAGATATTCAGGCCCAGGTGTGTCTCTACTTTGCTTCTGGAAATTTGGTGGCTAAAAATACCCCAAATTCATTTTAGCCAATACTTGCAACTCTGCTTACTTGATTATTTGTTAACACAGAGCATTGATTTTTAATGTGTATGTTTCCTTTATCCCATTAAGAATTAAAACTGAAATTGAAGAGTTATGCGTTTTTCTTTTCAGTTGATGTAAAACTTTTCTGTATTATTTTCCCAAACCATCTTGAAAGGTGTGGTCCCCTGCAAAGTTTGCCCTCTGTAAGTGCACAGGAACATGAGGTCTAGCTATGATAAAGCAATTTTGTCTCTTTCAGAGAGCTTAACAGATGGACAATGTCCAGTAAAGCAGTTTAAATAAGGCATCAAACAAATGAATGTTGTATCATAAATTTTGAACCGTATTTGATGAGGTTGCAGAGATGACACTAAGAAAACCATCTGAAAACATTTTTTTTTTAAACCATCAACTTCTGCCTTTCTCCCATTCTTCCTTCCCAATCCTGTCAGCATTACATTGTGTGTATATCATTGGCCAGGATGGAAATAGAAATTCAGTGAGTTTTATCTGGAATCATCACTAGGCTAATTATGAAAAGTAATTATAGATTATAAATTATAAAAGTAAAATTGAGGTAGACAAGTGTTAGGAGAATTAAATTGCAAGTTTTTGTTCAGTTATTCAGGTGTTAAGCTACAGTTATTTAGGAGGTAGAACTGGCATGCTTTGATTACTACATGTGGTTGATGACAGTGGAATGAATAGAAGATAACATACATTTCTATCTTGATCAACTCTATGGATGGCTCAGGAAGACAGAAAATATAAAGTGAGGGTCAGGGTTTTGTTCAGTGGTGCTTTCTTTGGGACTGGTGGTGGACATAAAGGATACCGTTTGAATGTATTGAGTTTGAGACTGGGACATTGAAATGAAGTATCCAAATATAAATCTTGAAACCTGGACTAGAATGCTGATTTAGGAGTTCACATTGTACATAAATAAAGGCCAAGAACCAAGATCAGCCTGGGAGATAGTAAAATAAAAGAGAAGAATATCAAAGACACCAAGCGAGCAAGGCTGAACAAGAGAAACACATGAAAAAGATAAGGGTTAGATTAAGGGTAAGAAAAAAAATTAGGAGTCAAATCCCTATAAGCAAGAAGGGAAATTGAAGAAGAAATTAGTTAACTATGTCAAATTGTAGAAAAGCATGAAATGCCCTTTGGATTTAACAAAAAGGAGATCATTGGTGACTTTGGATTTTTGGTGCAGTTGTGAGGAAAGATATTACTTAATAATTTTATCTCTCTTTGTTTCTACCAGAGTGCTTTAGTCAATGTTGGACTTGGCTTTTCCACAAAACTTATGGAAACATCAGCCAAATAAATGCTCAGCTCCACTGTTTCAATCAAGTAGAGAGGAAATCAATATACTATACTGGATAATACTGAGGAATGTTCTTAAGATCTTTATCCTTATAAAAGTAAATAAAAATACTAGATTTTACACATGCGTGCAGGCACACACACACACACACACACACACACACACATACACAGAGAGACAGAGAGAGAGATCCCAAAATTCTCTGTATAGGCCAAAAAAAATATTTATTCAGGTCAAATTCAGTTTCTATGCTATCAAATTACAATCTCTGATGAGGAAACTGTGTTAAACATTTGTGTACTTTTCATCATAATGATCACTGTAGAGATGTAAAAATACACAAGACATTCCCTTTGTTCTTAAGCAGTTTGCAGATTAATATGTGGGTAGCAGGAATATGAGAGTAATGAAGTGTTACAGGTAGAGGGAAGCACACATGAGAGTCAGGGAGAAGGTGGTACTCAGGAAACTTACAATCATGGCAGAAGGCAAAGTGCTAGTAATCACTTTAAATGATAAAAGCAGGAGCAAGAGAGAGATAATGTGTGTTGCGGGGGAGGGGATGAGTTGTGCCACATAGTTTTAAATGACCAGTTCTCCTGTGAACTCAGAGAGAATGCACATTTGTCACCAAGGGAATGGCCCAAGCCACTCATGATCCAAACACCTCTCACTGGGCCCCACCTCCAGCATTAGGAATTACAATTCAACATGAGATTTGGGTGGGGACAAATATACAAACTGTATCACAAGTAATAGTAACCCTTGAGCTAGTTTACTTTTTAAAAATTGCCATTTTATTTTAAGGATATAGAAGTATCTTGCAAAACTCAAGGGCCAGATGCACCTGTGACTAGATTAGGCACTTGCTAACGTTTGGAACAGGGAATCTACTCTTCCACTGGGGTCACATGGTCTCTCATCTTGCTGCTTGGCCTCCATCAGCTTTAGTTTTTTCTCTTTGAAGACTCTGTTTTTCTGCACACATGCGCAACCAATAAAGGCAATCCAGCTCTTTAGTTGTATCACCTTAATTCAAGCAACACCCAGTTTGGGATTTCAACCCCTCTGGCAGAAAGACTTTCAATAGCCCATCTTGGGTAAGCTTAGACTTCTGGTTCAGTCAGCTGGAGCTGGAGCCAATTCAGAGACAAAAAGGACAACACATAGACTATATCCCAAACTTATATGTAGGACTAATGTCACAAAGAGGGAGTAATAAGAGTTTTCCAAATGCCTCCAAAGATATTTATCTCTGTTTCAGATGTTATAAGGAAATAAGGAAAGGAAGAGACTTAGTAAGTACAAACAGAATTTTTTTTTTTTCTGTTGATATTGGAGAACTTTTTTCCCTTGGCTTTTATTTTAGGTTTGGGAGTACATGTGCAGGTTTGTTACATGGTTAAATGTTTTGTTAAATGGTTTGTATATGTGCAGGTTTGTTACATTGTTTCTTACATTTGTTGCTTGTTGCTGGGGTTTGGTTTACAAATGATTTCGCCACCCATGTAATGAGCATAGTACTCAAGTGGTACCTTTTTGACCCTCACCCTCCTCCCACCCTCTACCCTCAAGTAGGTGCCAGTGTCTACTGTTCCCCTCTATGTGTTCCGGTGCACTTAATATTTCTGAACATTTCAAAAGCTATTTAAATTACAGAAACCCCACTTAGGCAAAAAGTTGTAGGTGTTTATTTTATTGCTAGGAATGGGGTTAGATAATGAATGGGACAAGTCTAAGGAATTGAAGATTAATCAGGAGATCCTAGCTATAAGCCACACGAAATACACTAAGGGCCAAAGTAAAGCAGTAGCAATGGGTGTGGAGAGTTAGAAGGATTTATCAATAATATTAAAGAGGTAGAAAATATTGGTCTTGATTGATTCTTAAAAAGAGAGAGGATAAGGAATCCATTAGGATTCTACTTCCTTATCGCTTAGGAATCTATTTGGGTGACCAATTTGGTGGATATAACACACACCTTAAGGTAGGAAACAAAAGAGGAGAAGAAAGTTTGATTGAGAAAGATAATGGGTTTTGTTTTTTATGTATTCATTTGGCAAGGCTGATAGGATCTGAGTCTGGTGGACAAAAGAAACATCCGGGTTGAGGATACAGCTGGATACAGGATACTATATACACAGTATACATACATAAACATATATACATAAAAATATATACACAGAGTAAACACTACATACACCAGGGCAAAGAATTATTTAAAACTTTTCTGTACTAGATGAGGTAAAAATTTCAAGATGAAAATGATATACCTGTCTCCTCAATTATTAATGTGGCCCCAAGAGGCCTCTTTAGAGATATTAATAATTTATCAACACCTGTCATAGGAACTCCTTCGTGAGCCTGACACAGATATTATTCCTCATTAGCAGCTTGTATAAGATTACAGGTTACTCTATAGGGATTTCTTTTAAAAGAAATAGGTGCCAATGTAGCTTAAAGGAAACTAATATCCCATGATATTTTAACTGACCAAAAATTGGGGATTGGCTAAGTAAATAATGGATGAGCCATATGATAGATTTAGTTTAGTTATTGGTCAAGGATGCTTAGGAATGTTTGTAATGGAAAACAATTATAAAGTTATAGGAACAGAATATAATATGGAGTTACATATACAGTATGCAGTATGCTGATAACTATACAAAAATACCCTGCATAAAAAAAGAACATGAGGGAAATACTCTGAAATGTCACCAGCAGTTTGCCTTTGATTGGTGCGTTCATGGGGATTTCTTTCTTCCTTTTAAAAATACTTTATGATGAGTATGACTATTTTAAATGGAAAAACCTTATTTAAGAATACATTATTTAAAGCATTTTGGTCGACAGAGCAGTGGCAGTATAATTTTCAATCTCTATGAAAATCTACATTAAGAAGCAAAGAATCAAACAAAAACCAGATCCACAAATTAGCAAAACCAAATGCCCAGGGACAAACTTTACAATAAAGCTTAGTAATAAGGTATCTTCACAAACCCCAAAACACAAGAGGTGAGGGAAAGCCACCAAAAGCCACAAGACATGTATGCATAAACAATCATGTTTTAGGAGGAGAAGAAAATAATGGGGTGGTGTCTGATGGATGGAAGAACTAGAATGCTCTCCAGTTATTTGTTGTAAAGCATTTCAGGCCAGTTTTGTAACAACAGTAGGAAAAGTAAAAAGGAATGAAGGGAGGGAATGAAGCCATCTAGCCCTTGTGCTATGTCAGAGCTGATCCTCTATGACTCTTTTCTAGGACAAGTTTCTCCAGTAAGAAATTGCTTAGAGAGAAATCAAAATTGATCAGGATGGGGAAGTAGAGGCAATGGAAAGAAGTCTAGCTGGACACCATCCAATCTGGTAGCCTCTAACTGCATGTGGTTATTGCAATTTTAATTAATTTTAAGTTTTAATTGGCTAAAATTAATTAAAATTTAAAATTTGGCTTCTCAGTCACACTGGCCACACTTCACATGTTCAACAATCAGAGAGGAGAGCAGTATTAGGAAGCCTCAAAGTACTGTATTATTATCATCATTATTATCATTTCAGCACTTAAGGAGGCTAGGCAAAGTGGCTCATGCCTGTAATCCCAGCACTTTGGGAAGACAAGGTGGGTGGATCACTTGAGGCCAGGAGTTCAAGAGCAGCTTGACCAACATGGTGAAATCTCATCTCTACTAAAAGTACAAAATTAGCCAGGTATGGTGGTGCATGCCTATAATCTCAGCTACTCAGGAGGCTGAGAAAGGAGAATTGTTTGAACC